CATCCTTCTGGACCAACCATCATCAACTAGGACCATTGCTAGTAGCAGAGTAATAGCACTTATTATGAAAGAGTACCAGTGATGCCACAAAGTCTAATTGTGCTTCTCTCCTCTATAGGAATCAATAATCAAAGCAGGAAAAAAAGCAGTTGTCTGTCTTGAAGGATTCTGTGAGTTATTTTACAGTAAGAGTGTGTACAATGGAAATAGTCCCAAAAGATACCTCTATGATAAAAAGAATAAAGAATTGGAGCCAATGGGCATCAGTTAAAGGTAAGGATTAAAAACACAACATCACATGAAAACATTCTTTAACATCTCTAAGTCAAGCAATTAATTTCTCAAGAATTAATATCTTAAATCCGAACTGCTTTATGATAGAAACAACAGCAAATGAAAAGAGTTGATCAAACTCTAAAGAGAAATGACAGAAAATAGGACTCTCAAAACTGTTGCTGAATGAGGTAGAACATAAGATATAAAAGAAATGTGGGTATTAAAGTGATTTCAGGTACAATTAAAATCCCTTGTAAAGACAGAATGGGGAAGAAATGAAAAGAAGTTGTGTGTTTTGCTTTATGTTACAGTACAAAGTTTTGCCAACAGCATGGAGGAAAAACAAAGCAAGTCTTAGAACAGGCTAGTTAAGAGGGAAAGCTTAACACAGAAGACAAAAATATTTATGTTGTGGTCCTTCTCTTCTGATAAAGTTGGTAACTTGCCTGGTACTTTAAAACACTTTGAAAGTGTCAAACCACTGCAACCATGAAACTGCACACCAGTCCTCCAGATGGTTGCTTTTAACAACATCACTGACTCATTTACTTTTCACTGTTCCATTAGTTCTGCAGTCAAACACTGCTCACCTGGCAGATAAAGATCAAAATGTCATTTTGAACTGGCAGAATTTGTGAATTTACGCATGAACAGTGTCCAGTTTCTTCCTGTGTCTTTTCAGTGAGAAGAGGTTTTAGTTACTGTCAAGACAGCTGCACTTATGAGTTTTTATTACTACACTGACCAGGATTAACATTCTGGGAAAAAAATTTTAAACAGAACTCTAAGCATTTGTAATGGCCTCTTAAAATTCAACTATCTTCTGTAAGTTTTGCCTCATGGTGAGATTATTAATTAGAAAAAAAACTTACTCATTCTTTCATGCAGCAAAATCCCTATACACTGCAATGCCTTTCCAAAACAAAGTATGTTCCTACCTTCCACAATGAAGAGAGAAGCATCATACTACATATCTCTTCCTTCTATTTTCTCACATCCAAAAATCACACTATTTTGCTTCCTTTCCACTAATTGTGGAACTCTCCAGAGCAAAGTGAGCAAGAATCATTTATATCAGTAGTCTCAAAAGTGGAGTTTATCCAGCCCTGGGTATGCACAAGACAATCCACTGCAGGGCAAGAAAAAAATTATACATAAATATATTTATTAATAAATTATTGTAATAGATTAGTAGTAGTAACGTAATTTACTCATCAAATTAGTAGTAATAAAGTAATTTACTCATTCAACAGTATTGCATGTTATATTTCTATATATATATATATTATTGTAATCAATGTTCTGTTAAGGCCGAAAGACTGTAAGTTGCAGAATGGGTAATTAACCTGTCAGTACTATAAGCTGATAGTCCTGCAGTTGCAGTTCTTAAGCTGACAAAACAAGTTATTATGCCTTACTGAATAAGTCTTTTGTATATTGTCTAAATGTGTACGCCTAAAGTAACGAAGGGAAGGACAAGGATCAAAGGGTCAAGTACGAAGACGATAAAAAGGATCCAAGATGGACATCTGGAGAGACTCACACAGTAGGCCTCAAGGATGAAAAATTACCTAAAACTATGGAAAGGGAAGTACCTGGCAACTGAAAGCGAGCTTGCAAAAGAACCAACCAGAACCAGACTTGCGAACTCGGATCCAACAGAAGGATAACAAGTGACTATGGGAAGGGAACTGACAATGGTATAAAGAACACTGGTTTTGCCCACTGCTTTGCTGGCCGTGAGTGGAGCAGGGGTCTCCCTGGCAGCCCAGCACGCTGTTTTGCTTATTTGCATTTCATATAAATCTTTAATAAATTTTTGCTGCTATATTTCAGCATAAGTTTCATTTACTTATAACATTATTAATGTTTTAAATTTAGTTTAAAAAGCAATATTTTAAGAAGTGTTTATCTTTATCTCATCATTTGTAAAATTTCTATTGTGCGTGTTTTATAGTTTGCATAACATACTACAGCAGTATATGTCTACAATTTATAAATAAATAAGTATAAATACATTGGGGCCTGCATGCTCAAAAAAATTTTACTGATGAATGTTTGGAGATCACTGGTTTGACTTCAGCACCAGGAAACCGAAGCAGCATTTCCCCCTTTGCTAGAAGGAGGTGAAAATACTGGAGAAGAAACTGCATGAAGGGAAGAGTTTTCATTGGGGCTGCATTTTTCAGTTATTTAGCTGCAAGTTTAATGTAGCAAATGATTTTTCAGAAACAGTTAAGTGCTTAGCTCACACTATATCTAGTAGTTGAACAACTCTTGAATTCCCATGAGATTCTGATTGGTATCTAGAGGCTGCCAAAGGCCATTCAAAACCTTATTCCAGATGATTTAGGTTCAGGTCCACTGCTTTTCAAAGACATTTAAAATTCTAAATACACAAAATACACTTTCAGCAATAACTTATGCCACTAACATCACTTGGCCAGGTTTCTAATGCAGATGCAAAAAGTCAGCCTATTTTTATTTAAATTCCTTTCAAACATTCACAAACAAAATAACTCTGTTAGTCACTTGATATACTATTTTTGGTTTTGTAGAAATACTGAAATACTCCATCTCTGTAATGGCTACAGACAAGTATTGACTAGGTGAAACACTGAAGTCACTAGAACTTTGGGGAAGTTTTACTTGGCAGGTATTAAGAAACAGCGAAGCAAGCAAACCATTTTGGCAAGACTCTCTAAAAATTAGGTTACCCTGAATAATGTCTTTTTTCTACCCTTTCTATTCCAGTGAGAATGACAGCACTTTTTTCAAGAACTACAGATTGAGATAAATTCCTTTACTTCCCCTGAAAAGTTTCCAAGCAGCATGTAGCATTGATTACAGCTCTGAAATCTTCAGTATAGCATCCTCTAAAAATCAAAGTTCAAACATTTCTCTTAAATAGGTAAGAGAGCAGCCAGAGTAATGCACATTTTTTACATGACATTTCTCGCATATACTTTGATGTCAAACAATGAATGCTATGAAACAGAAAACAACCAATTTGTTTTTCTAGTCATGTGTCACATCCCTCCAAATTCTAGCACCAAGACTTCACAGCATACAGTCATTAAAACAGAAATTTTTCTCACAGAGCAAGGGACATTACTGTGCAACCATTGCAGGATTTGCAGCACCAATTTAATAGAACACTTAAGCTCTTGCTGACCTTTCGGTATGCAAGAACTCCATTTAAATAAAACTACTCATGCTGAAGGCTAAGCACTCCTTGAACCACTACCCATAATCACAGAATCCATAAAACATCAGTAACACATGTGGTCCCTTCTGCAGTTTTCCTAACAAACACGTTGTGTCCTCCCAATTCAACATGCTCTTCAGTCTTCAATGCGACTCATTCTTGCTCTTCAGTTCCTCCCTTGGCAGTTTATTGAAGGCAAAAGCAGAAATGCACACATGCTAACCCTGCTAACATAGCTCTGGCTGCTCCTTTTGCTCTATGGAAGACTTCCATCCCCTTGTTAGCCTTAACTATCACACCACACTACAAGAGGAGAAGCAAACAGCACAGCCTATTCACACATGAGCACCACAAAAGTTTCAGATGTCTGTCTTACCTTTCCATCTCATCTATGTTTCTCTCCTGCCTTTGCGTTTCAAAACGGAGCAACAATACAAATGCACTCAAGTGAGCTTCATCAGATCAACCACCCCTTTACACGTGACTATCACTGTTATATAACCTTTTTCTTATCTCTTCCTATGAAAGAATCTAATCCTACAGTCCTTCACATGTAGTAAGCTTTCACACTACCCTCACTGGAAAGGTTCCCAGGAAGATACAGCTTCAACATTAAATCTCACTTCATTTCATCTTCAGGGGATGCTCTTCAAGTCTAACAATGCCTCTTTTTGCCTGTCTTTCCCAAACATTTTCTGGATTTGACCACAAACACACACACAGGTCAGCTTGTTTTAGTTTATTGATTTTCTTCTGAACACATTATTTTATTTGTCCTTAAAACTCTACTAAAAGATCAGCCACACAAAAAGCCAGACTCATTCTTCAAGCACAGAAAGGTTAGTACAGTGCTGCAAAGCCATGTAATTTATTTCACTTACTGCAATGAGACCATGTCTTTTCAGTTGGGATGGCAGAAACAGAGGGTTCTTGGCTATGCCTGTTCCTAAGAGTTTCAGCTAACACTCAGAGAACCTGGGAACAGTATATATCTATGCCCCCACACCTTTCAGCCAGACACTTGCTCAAGATGATCTTCCCCTCTCCCTAATTCCTGTTCCCTGAGAGTTTTGCCCATATCTTCCTGTCAAATAGTCACACATGTCAGAAGCTGCAGCCATATTTTCCTACCTTACTCTTTTTTGAAGCAAGTTTTCCACCAAATTCTTTTCTCTCCAAAGGTGTCACAGCTCACCCAGCAGAATGATCTTTAGAAGCTCATATATATTCTGGTATACCAGCAACCTGATGATGCAGAGAGGCTGCATCTCTCTAGTGTGTACATGCAGATGCTGCAGCATTTCAGATGCCAGGCAGGCACCAGCATCCACCCCATCTTCAGGGACAGAAGCCAAAGGATGTCTGTCCTCATCATTTTTCAAGAGACAACTGCTGCTCGGGTGAAACTGCAAAACTCTGCATCCAGCCACTACCAGCAAGAAAGAACAACTATTGTCTGCAAGAAAGACAATTTACTGTTTTGGTGCCATTTGTTACTGGCTTTTAGATACTCTACCTGTTTGTGCCACCAAGTGGGTCCAGCCGCTCCAAACTGCTGCAATCTTTTCATGTGAGAAGACCTGAGTCTCAATCTTCTTGGGCTCAGCAAGAAAGATCTCTTTGCTCACTAACTGTCCATGTTTGTTGCTGCCCCAGACATACAGGTGTCCTTCATCTACAATGGACAGAGAAGTAAAAGCGATATACGTATAATACCACCAGATACAGTCTTTGTCTCAATTCAGTGATGCTGAGGAAAGAACGTTTCGTTCAATTTGTGTTTTCCCTACCCTTCTTTACCACATGCACACGCACACTGTAACTAGGATATCAGAAATATTTGCAAGAGCCTTATGATAGCCTGTTTTCTGAGGGCTATATGGACCCCCTGAAGCCACCACAGCTTTCAGGTCAAACTGCCTAGACCTCATCTCTACTGTGAGCCTCTCAAAGATGAATTAAAGATGTTTATAACAAACATTATTTCTTATTAAAAAACTAAACACAGTAGTCAACTTCTCTGAGGGGAAAAAAAAAATCAAACCACCTTGGAGACACTCACTGAGCAGTCCCTATTGGTCCACTCTGTCTTTGCAGACCAGCTTCTATCTCCATTCCAAAGCTTCAGTTCAGTCCAGCAAATAACTTCCTGGATTGCAGCAAATAATTTAAGTCCCCTGCAGCACAGGGGATTCTTCAAAGCCTGGCTGGCTGCTCCTAATGCTTCAGTCTCCCAGCCTCTTACAAGAGCTAGACTCATATGAGGGTGCTTATAACAAGTCTGCCTTCTTCAGCTTGAGCAAATTCAGTACATCCCCCAAAGCAGGGACAGTCTAACGCTCCTTGTCTCACCTTGCACAATCAGTTCCCGAAGGAATTGGACACATGGCTACACACACAACTAAAGCAGGCACCACCCACCACAAGGCAAAATTAAAATATTATTATGCCCCAAAACAATGCCAGACAACTACTGAGAGACTTTGTCAGTAATCACTTGTCTTTCCCACCCCTTTTTTAGAACAAGCATTTCCGTAAGTGCACATTCCAGGACTCCAACCACAGGGATAGTTCTGTTTACAGAAACACCCACAATACTTTATAGCAATGCAAGCTGGAGCTACTCACAGCCTAAGGATCAATGGACACTAACACTGTTCAGATGAGTCCTTCTGCAGATATTACATATCATTAGTTCCATCTTTTCAGCACAAAACCATTCCTCCCAGGTTCTATGCCTCCATGGTCAAAAAATACAATCCACAAAAAACACTTAAGAGAACAGGACCTGTGTCAGGCCTCTCTTGAAGTCCTTGCCAGCCTGCACAAGCTGCAAGCATAAAAAATAAATCTTGCAGACATGAAATACATTATCATGGGCCCAGGAAGACTGGAAGCCATATAATTTCCAACATGGAATTGTTTAGAGCACACATTCACAACCCTTAAGGCAGGAATCTCTGGTCAGCACTGAACTATTTACAAGCGGCATGGCAGAAGTAAATCGTTCAGAGGCAAAAGAAGAAGTAGTAAGACTTAAGTTACAATATATTTAATTATCTCAGTTTGGTAACAGTTAACAGGAAGACTAAGCCAGGAGACTTCTACTTTACTACTGTTGGTGAAAAACAGGCAAGGAGTGAGAGCAGGGGGAGAAGTCAGTACTTGTCAAATTACAGATTACTGACAGTCATCTGCAGGACTTCCCAAGTTCCTCATTAAAACAACACAACTGAAGTGAAAAGGAAAACAAGTCAAGCGACTGTTTCATTCAAATTCTCCCCTAAAATTGATAAATTCCTTCCCATTGTGAAGTACATACACCTTCTGGAGAGAAAAAAAAAGGGGGGTGACAGAAACAACTTGTTTCAACATAGGAAAAACATTATGGCCAGTCATGTTCCACAAGTAACACATACTGCCTCGGTCACCTCCTTTTCTTCTCCAGAAGGTGCATTTGCTTTATCCTGGGAAACATCACGTGCTCAATCCTTATCTCATTTCCTGAGTAGGTCTTAACAAAAGCTCAAGCACTAAGACTTAGGACCATAGTCTAACCACTGGAGGGTTCAGGTCAGTTTGGATACAAGTAGACTTTACCATTCTTCTCTCAAAGGAACCACCATTCCCATTTGCAACAACCCACTTCAACAGCTGTGTCCCAAACTGGCCTGACTGCAAGTGTTTGGTATCCTACTCTCAGGTGATTCATGGAACAGAGCCAAAGAAAACTGCACCACAGTGCAAGACATTCCTAGAAAAAAATGTTTATTTGAATACTACACCCTGCAGTAGTATCTTTACTATACCAAGTACCTCTAAAATACAAAGTATAACTATCTTGCAGGACAATATCTTGCAGGACAAAGGGCAGCAACAGCATCACATTACAAAAGTCTTTGGCACTTATGGTGTCAATCTTGGTGCCCCTGACGCCAAATAGACCACTCTCTTAAATAAAAAGCAAAAGAATGAAAGAATAATCTGTTCACTCTAAATACAGAGTGCTAATTATCCAATGTAGATTTCATTTGTTCTTACAGCTCTTCTTTGCTAATCGTGCATACACTTTGTGTCTCAGAATTCAACATAATTTACATCTTGGAACATTTCCATACAACTAAATCTCTATAGATCTGCATAAGCAAATACTCCAGTGCTCCTTTAATCATGACAGAGGTACCAGATGGCTGCAGATTTGTTAAGAATTTGTTCCTATAAAGTTTGGCAAAGACTTGTCTTCGTACGGCTCAATTTATTTTACACACTTCAAAACTGTAAGATTACAGCATGAAAAGCTATTCTGTTTCCCCTTCTCTCAATCTGTCAAAATAAAAAAAGAATCTTTATTAGACTTACATTACTGGATACTTAATACTCCAGCATGGGAGCACTGCCTAAAGATCAAAGAACAAATGGAAGACATTATGGAAGTGCCTGATTAAAGCAACTTCCTACTTTTTAAATAAGCTTTGTGCTCTCACATCACCTCGCACAGCTCTGCAGAGCCACCTAAGGCAGAGCCAGACCATCTCACACCCCTGCACAGCACTGCCCCACACAGAGGCACTAGCTCACACTGCTGTGGATAGACAGCTTCTGCTGTCTTTCTTGGGACACCACCAAGGAACCACCAACCTTTCTCCATGGGCAAAGGGTTGCACTGGTTCCAGCAGTCAACCATCCAGAGTCATCCAACGGAGCATCCTGCTGCAGCTCCAGAGACTTACCCACCCACATGAACAAATCCTTCCAGAGCTTCTAACCATTAAGTAAAGAGCCCAGACTCTTAATTAGTTAAGGGTTATGTCACACCTGACCCCAAGGAAATACACACAAAATTCAGAGAATTCAAAACATGAATCCAGCTCTTAAAAAAAAAATAAAAAAGGAAATTTCTCAAAATCCAAAACTATTACAAAATAATTAACCAGCGCTAACTAGGACAAATCAAATTTCAACAGTTTAAGCAAAATTGACAACCATTTCAAAAGCAGAGAAACCTTTATAGGTTGAGAGCTTTCACTTCTGTACCTAAGGCCTACCTGTGAGGGACACTGAATGATAGGAGCTTGCAGCAACTGTCTTCACCTTTACATCTTCCAGGCCTAGAGAAAAATCAGTTTCATAAAATTTGTACAGCAGGTACCATTCCACACAAGTGTGACAGGATGATCATGCATTTTGTAACAGAAGTCTCTGCTTTTGGGTCACAGACATTGCAAGACTCGCTGTCATTTCCCCCCATTGATTATGACCATTCTATCCTTCAGGTACTCCACTACATGTTTGTAACACCAAGCGGCTTTATACATCGGATGGTACGTATCACTCCAAACTATATTTCTGCTCTATCCACCTTTAAAAAAGGAAGCAGATTCCTGGATTACCTGTCACTTCACAGGGTTCCTTTGCTGTCAAGAACAGGGGGAGAGTTTTTCCTTGGTTTGCACGCTTTGCCCGAGTTGCCATACCAGTTCCCCACTGAAGAACCAGACCACTGTCTTGTCGGAGTAAACACAGATAAAAGAGATTAAAACACATCAACCACCAACAAAATCACTTAACTCATTAATTGAAGGTACATTCAATTCATTTTCACTGATTCAAAATACACTTTCAAAGGCCTCTATGCCAAAAACCATACAGATAACCCTGGTGAGGTCAACATGCAACACAATGATAGTCTCATTATACAGGTAAGAAAACTAAGAAGGCACGAGGCAACCTGACTCAGCTCTCAGGGCTGTATTAGGACATTACTGAGGACTCAGTAACAGAAGTCCCATAGCTGTAGTGCCTCAGGAATGGATACAACGTTCATAGGACTTTCTCTTCACTTTTCTTCTCTCATTTGTGCAGCCCAACACAACTGAGAGAAGGAAGTCACTTGTCTTCTCCTCAAGAGCTTTCAGAAACTTGAGCTAGATCTGCATCAAGACATTCACTGACCACAGAGCTCAGGGAAGCTTAATTCCCATTATTCACACAAGCATCAGAGATTCCATTATTCTTCCAAGCATCTGCTTTGCACCTTCAGCTAGACTCCACTACTTGGAATCTATACTGAAATTCCTGCAAAACTAAACCAAACAGAAGAGCAGGTGTAGTTTGTTGTTCCTCAATTTTAACACAACCATGCCAAATGGAAGGTTTTGATTTCTACAGCTATACCATAAACTCTAATACCAGCAGGAGAAATATTAAGGTCTTATGACCCTCCCAAGTACACACGTAGCAGACTGTGAAAGAGAGTCAGGAACAGATTTTTGAAGGTGTGTGAGTGAAATTAATGGAGCAGATCCTTTCTGTCCCCCCTGAATAAAAGTCAAGTTTCATTCTTCTGACTTTTCCAGGTGTCAGTTTCAATTACATTATTAAAAAAGCCACATTTTATGTGTAGTTTCATTTTGAAACATCATATACAAACTTAAATTATTCTGCATATTATAATGAATTCAAATCCTAAGAAGATATTTTGACTGATCAGAAATCTTTTCTCCTGAAAAAACTCCTTTCATGTTTTGTTTCAGAACAGGAGAAATCAGTAAGTTTTCCACCCATCAGAAAATTAGCTTATTAATATACTATCACTCTGGGTTCTTGGAGGACAGCCCTTCATCACTATTTTGCAGAAACATGTTTCTAGTATGTTTACTATTCCAGTTAATTTGTATCAAAATCTTACTGTGTATGACTTTCAGGTGTATTTTCTCTGTGACATTTAAAACACAGGGCAACTAAAATAAACTCCATTTTCTTTCCCTCCCTCTCCCCCTTCAAGCCATTAAAACTCCCTTTCATTTGTTACTGAAAAGATATTAAAACTATGACATATTTACCTGTAGCAGCAAGGGCATGTCTCAGTCCTGCAGCGACATTCACCACCTTCTCTTTGAGAGACTACTCAAATTAAAAATAAAAAAAAAAATGTATTTTAGTTGCTTTTTTGCATTCAGTGCCTCTAAAAACAAAACAGGCCAAACTGAAGTGGAACACTATGAAAATAGCTCTTGCAATTCCAGTCTGCATGTCACAATGCATATCAACACTCTGTATCACAAGGAAAGAAAATTCTGGCCAATAAAAATTAGTGTGAACTTCTTCAGTCTCACCATGTCCTGCAATCATCAACAATACCACTGACAGTGCCACCTACACCACTGAAGGTTGCCCAACATGATCACGCAAAAGAAGACTACAAGTCATGTCTGCATTAAATTAGCGAGCTCAGTTTGCACAAGGTACACCAATTCTGGCACTTCTCCACTCCCAAGTACTCTACAAATTTATTATTCTTCTCACAGATGTAACACTATTTAAAACAGATGGCATTAAGCCCAAGCATTAACAGGAGAGCAACCAAAAGAGCAAACATTCCACGAGAATGTATGGTGTGTGTGGTCAGGGAGGAGAGAGATTCAGATTAGCATTGTCAATACTACCAAATTTCCAGGCACCATACTGGAATGAATGCTCCCAGGAAACATTGAGGGCACAGAAACATCAGGCAAATTAAAATCTACTCATGAGAGGTTACTCCTTCTCCCAAAATAAAAAAAGTAAAGGAGTATCTGGAATGAGCCATGAGGCTAAATTTCTTGTCTGAGGATCCTTCCTCCTCTGAAGTTACTGCTTGCATTAGATATGAGAGGTTGTGTGGATGGGAAAGTTTCATTACTGTTGTCCAAATAAGAGACTACAGTGTAAACTGGAATTCCTGTGAGAAATTTATTGAAAATGTTAGGCTTACAGCCAAAAACAGGAAAGCTTTTCTGATGTTACAGAAGTCTCAGTGTCTGTTAATTAAAACATTATAAAGCAATTAATTTGGAGCTGTTCTGAGCTCCCTGCTCACACTCAGCAGCACCTCACCTAAAAATGTCACCATGGACTTCCACATGGAACAGCATGAGTTACAGTCCAGCATTTATCACTGAAGATACTGGACAGCAGAGAAATTATTATCTAATTTTTCCATTCTTCTTCCTTGGAAGCTATTATTGTGTGGTAAATACTGGAGGTTAGAAAAGAAGCAAGTCAATGTACTTGTCGGTTCATTTACATGCAAAAGTAAAAATCATTTTAATCTCAAGTGATAAAATCAAAGTTTATTCTCACACCTCTAGTTTTCCTGCAGCTACATACTTTATCACACTACTATTATTTTGGGGGTGACCAAGCTTATTTTTATCTAACTGTTTCTACAGCCAAGAAATAATAGTACAGTCCTCATTTTGGGGGAAGAAATTCTGACAGTTACACACTCAAAAAAACAACATATACTAAAAAAACAGAACTGTTGCACAAGATGCACAAGAGCAACAGATGGAAAGAAATGGCATAGCCAAGTTTGTTGAACTCCATAATGCAATTTGTTTTTCTCAGGGGTGGTTTACTGTAGGTTTGGCTTGGTTTGAAGTATTTGCACAAACCTGCAACAAAGTACAGTGAAGGCACAAGCCCTTCACATAGCAAAAGGTATCCAGTACCTTACAAACTTGAGGCACATATTCAGTTGGAGTAAATTTGCACAGTTTCACTACCTTTAGCATCACTTTATATCATCTGAGCAGATGGCTCATTCTGCAGACGTTGAAATGTTACAATCCCTAATGAAAGGGACAACTTTCTGTTAGAAGGGGGCAACTTCTTCATACAACAAGAAAAGCAGCCTTAGCTTTTCATTTCTGAATGGTCAATGACCATGTTTGGGCCTTTACTTTGTAAGCTTGCTGTAACAGATAGCTGTATAAAAAAATAGTTGAAGAGTCTGGCTTAGAGCCCACCTAGGTCAGACGACCTCTGTAAGTTACTGGAAGCAATATAAACTACAATCCTTTTTAAATCTTTACCTCAATCTTTTGTGGAATCAAGCACGGACCTGAAATTTGAGGAAGTCCTAATTGTCCAAAAGAGTTTGACCCACAGGACAGAACTAGGCCCGATCCTGCAAAAAAATGAAGTGTTAGAGCGAGATCAGTGAATTTGAGAGCAAAAGCAAAGCAGTGTAACATTCTAACCATCAAAATAACACAGCCAAGTAGCTCAAAAACTGACCTAACATGTCCCATTCGAAAGTCCTTGAGGCCATAGGCTTCTAGTCTTACACACCATGTTCAGTAAAGGTCTAAAGTTCACTGGGATACAAGGAACATGGACTAATTTAGCTTGCAAGGCAAGTAGCTTAAAACCTGTGAGTGCCAGCACATAGAATCATAGAATGGTTTGCGTTGGGAGTGGCCTTGATTTCTACAGTTATACCATAAACTCTAAAAACAGCAGGAGAAATATTTAGGCCTTATGACCCTCCCAAGTACACACATTGCAGACAGTGTGAAAGAGAGTCAGGAACAGAACTGTAAGAACTAGATTTTCATCTAGTTTCAACCCACCTGCCATGGGCAGGGACACCTTCTACTAGACCAGGTTGCTCAGAGCCCCATCCATCCTGGCCTTGAACACTTCCAGGGAAGGGGCATCCACAAGTTCTCTGGGCAACGTGTTCCAGTGTCTCACCACCCTCACAGTATTCTTCCTCACAACTAACCTAAATATGCTCTTTTTCAGTTTAAAGCCGTCACCCCTTGTCCTGTCACTACATTCCCTTGTAAAAAGTTCCTCTTCAGCTTTCTTGTAGCCCTATTTAGGTACTGAAAGGCCACAATAAGGTCACCCCAGAGCCTTCTCTACTCCAGACTGAACAGACCCAACTCTCTCAGCCTTTTCTCACAGGAGAGGTGCTCCAGCCCTCTATCATCTCAATGGCCCTCCTCTGGACTCGTTGTAACAGGTCCCTCCTGTGCTGATGACCCCCCAAAGCTGGATGTAGCACTCCAGGTGGGGTCTCACTAGGGTGGAGTGGAGGGGCACAATTCCCCTCCCTCGACCTGCTGGCCACGCTACTTTTGATGAAGCCCAACTGGCTTTCTGGGCTGTGAGCACACATTGCCAGCTCATGTCCAGCCTCTCGTTCACCAGATGGAGAGACAGATTTACCTACTAATATGATTGTGAAATCCCAGCCACATGCAACTTGTTTTACACAAAAGCCAGACAGGGCAGTGCACAAGGTAAAGTGCAGCACATCCTCTGTGTGATTCAATCCCAACTGCCCATCTTTGTTATGGCCACATACAAAGAGTTGTCCTCCACCTGGAAGAAAAAAAAAAACAAAACAAATTGGGTTCCACTTCACAGACTAAAAAGAGAAACATACATCCATGAGATCCTGTGACAAATAAGGACAGTGATTATGTGTCACTTTAGGCACTACATTCAAGCAAAAAGTAACAGAAACAGGTGTTTCTGATGCATCTAAAATCTCTGAATAACTACAGCTATGGAGAGCTGGGTTTGTCAAGGAAGACGATCCATATGGTAAGACAGGCACCTCTTCGGATAAGATGCATGATGAACTTTTTTTATCACATTCACATCTGTCTGTATTCCTTCTTTCCCATAATTAGCTGTGGCACACAACAGAACCTTTCAAAGACGAGATGTTATCTTCTGCTCCTTACCTTAATATTTCTCAAGACTGAATAACCTCTCACTTCACTCCTCCCTCCCACTCCCCTATCCGTAATAAAGAAAATTTGGCTTCCTTGTATGAAAAGCTGTTACACAAAATAGATGAAGAAATAGACCTCACAAAATACAAAGCAACCACACAATGTATGAAAAAGAGAATTTTCCCAGTTTCCAAAAAATTTCCCAAAAATACTGAGTTAACTGGAGGGAGGGAACCTGTTTTGCAACTGAGGATTGTACTTGCTCAGAAACAGCAGCCACAGAGAGGTGGCAGCACCAAACCATCAGGGAAACAAAAAAAGCATGATTAGAAGCCATACATTCCATGCAAGAGCAATGTTTTTACCAGTGATAACTGCAGAATGTCCCCCTCCTCCAGCAATGCTTGCAATGTCTTGACATTTGCAGGAAACATCTTTCAGTGCCTGAGGTACCAGCACATCCTCTTTATGACCAAGACCAAGTTGTCCATAGCTGTTTGCGCCCTTCAAATGCACATAGAAAAATAACACATTTTTTTTAAAGTTAACAAAAATGGCACACATCTGCTCCCAAGAACAAACAAGCTTACTGGGGATATGCCACAGGTTGACCTGCCAGTATTTGCTCCTGAAAATCCCCTAATATATCAATCTCTGTTCTTTCTACTGTCACAGGATTTCCAAAATTACAGGCCAGGATTGTCCTAACTTTGATGTCATTAAGTCTGCCATTGCAACCTCAGTATTTTAAGAAACATTCTGGAACATAACTTGTTAAAACTTCAACTGTGGGCTAACAGTTACCAAGAAGGAAAGGCTAACTATCAGAATGTGTTTAATTTTAATGCTAATGATTCCCACTCATCATTAAAAGCTTATTCATGCCACTGCTTTCTGGCAGTCCACTTCCAAAACAAGATCAGAAAGACATGTTACCTAGTTCTGGAACTTGAATCAGAAACACTTACCCCTCATTAACAAAGTTTTTTAACTCTTAAGTGGTCCAAATGAAAATATACCAATTATAGCTAGTATTAATTTATGAGTACAGAATTATAGCTACTAGTCCCATCACAGAAAGCAACAATTGCAAACATGGTTACAAGAGATGAAATTTTTTTTAGCCAATTAAATTATATGTCCAACAGTTGGAGCAGCAACTTTCACTCATGAAAAGGGATATCATAACCTTCCCAGCACACAGACCCCGCAGTAAAACACTCCACACCCACCATGCTCCCAGCTGGTGATCCCCAGGGGAGACTTTCCCTACCTCACCTGTGCTCCCCCTGCCCATCCGCCCTCCATTTTACCCTCCACCCCCCAAAGATGTAGCACCTGGTGAATGTTAAAAGGACACATTTAACAATAAACATTTTGTACCTAGAGAAACAGAGACCATGCTGCTTGCCTCAGCCCACGGCTAACAGGTGGGTGAGATGTCAGGATTCGAGCTCAACAGGTAGGTAAAGTTGTTGTCTCACCGTCTCACTACCACTGGCAGACAGCTTTGGAGCGTGTTACTACTTAACAGACGTAGTTCTTTTTAGGTGTGTCACAAGCTCCCATTGTAGGCTATAACTCGCAATGAATTTTCAAGCCTTCAAGAACAGGCGAGCTGAGATACGGTGCAGAAAGGAAACAGGAGCCTGAGGAACCGGGAGCCGTACGCGTGTATGGCCACGCCGACAACACAGCGGTCACGGTGTGCCCTGCCCAGACTGATGGGCTTGTGCCAAGCACGGCTGCGGCGGGGCAAACAGAGCTGACAAGGGGCAGAGATGCCCCTTCAGTGGCTCTTACACCTACTGTGCTCAGCAGGTAAAAGCGCAGCGTTGTTTTCCTTCGGGGAGGGGACACCTCGGCCCCCTTTTCCCAGGGAAGGGAGCGCGGCGAGGGACAGCGGCAGCGTACGCGGTCCCGGCTGCCGAGCCCCGCAGCATCCCGGGGCGGGCGAGCGCATCCCGGGGCGGGCGAGCGCATCCCGGGGCGGGCGAGCGCATCCCGGGGCGGGCGAGCGCATCCCGGGGCGGGCGAGCGCATCCCGGGGCGGGTGTGTGGGGGGGTGTCGAGTATCCGGCCCCGCGTCCCTCCCGTCTCCCCGGGATGCGGGGAAGGAGGAGTTCCCGGCTCTTCCCGAGCTCCCACTCACCCATGCGAAGAGCTCCATCTCCATGGGGCCAGCGCTTCCCGCCGCCCGCAGGCCGGGCAGGAAGAGGCGGGCCGGGGGCAGGCTCACGGGCGTGGAGTATCTGAACCACACCATTAAAAGGCATAAACCCCGAGCCACAAGCGAACGCGTTGTGTTTATTGCTACAGCGGTGGAATAAAGGTCGCTTTACCTCTGATAATTACCAGCAAGTCATTTATTTCGTTCACATTTAAAGCCTTCACAACAGTTTAAAATGTTTAAATTATTACTGTTCTATATAGCCATGAGGTTTGGATGGGTGAAGCCAAACATACACGTGGTTAATGCCATGGAAATGCATCTTCTCTGTATTATTGTTAGCAGGCTTTTTTTTTCTCTACACAAGTGCAAATAAAAGATACAACTGCTGTTTTTACAGAGTATTTGAAAGTAGGTGCTAATTTAACAAGTATAAGGATTCCTATTTGAAATGTATACATAGTTCAGACAAGGTTTGAAGTAACACAGACCTATGTATATTTCCACAACGTAATAATCCCAGTGTTGTTAAAACTGCACTTGAATATTAACTATTATCACAGAAGCAGGCAGAATAGATCCTCTGTCACTACTCACTTAAAAGGTTTCTTTTTTAGAAAGACAAAATTTCTAAAATCTATTTTTAAATGAAGTGCAATGTAGGCCATAAATATTGTAGACCATAATTCTACATCTTAAATATTCTTTTAAAAAAAAAGTTATAGTGGGTTAATAGCCACAGAAAAAAGTGATCTAGACTTAATTTAAACTGTGAATCTACTTGGAAAGGTTGGGCCAGCAATTGCTTATGGAGCATATGTGGCCTATGAAAGCATATGAAACTGAAGCTGCTTTTCAAGCACAGAGGTTCACAAAAGTCCTTTAAAGTTCTCAAAATCCTGAACAACCATCTCCAGTGTATTTAAGATTTCAGTTCATTTTTCCAGTGTACTTTCTGGATTTCCTGATAAGCTCTACCTATGAAAAACCAGTGCTGGCAGTGCTATTAAATACACCCTGCACATCAGAGATCCCCATTCAAACCTGTCACCTCCTGTCCATTTCATCAGCAGAGGTTGCAGAAGCAGCAGCCAGCACAGCTTTGCACAGCTGGGCAGGATGCTTGAAACTGTGGGGCCCGGAAATCAGGCGAGTTGGCTACTGTGAAATACAGGCAATTCATCAGGACACTGCTTCCCACCACTTGCAAAGTGCTCTTTGGAGTTAGATATACCTTGCACTACAAGGTAGTTTATTGCCTTCATGACCACAGAATTCCTATTAAATGCTTGGGCCTTTCAGTTATTGATTGATAGGGAGTGAAGGTGTTCAAGCCAAGTAAAGAGGAAGCTAAACGTATCTTTGTGCAACTTGTGCTGGTCAATAAAGTGACTGAGCAATCATCAACAGGATATTTATTTTTATAAAAACCACACTAAACTATGAACTTTGGCTATTATTTTAAACTTTTGAATATTAAATTGTACTTTGGAAATGGTTCTAGGCTTTGTGCTAAGGCAGTACACTTGATGTCTTGCTATACTTTTGCTAGATTATTTCAATGAGGAAAAAGGCAAATGGTATCTCTGTAAGGAAAGGTCTTCCCTCACGTGGAATATCAAGGACAGCAATACAAATCCTGACTCTTAGGCAATAGCACATCTCTTAAAATTAGGATGCATGCAACAGCTGTATCTCTGCCTTATACTAGAAGCATGCCAGACAGCACATTTGCAATTCTTTGTGGACAAGAATAATCCCTCTGAAAGATTTGACCCCTCCATTTTATCATGTTGAACCTCCAGCTATTTGTGTCCTGATGTGTGCATTGTAATCATTCAAGTTTTAAACTTAGTAGTACAAACTTAGAAGCACTGATTACCATAGCTTCTACATTATCAAGTCTTCAATGCTATAAAATCAGTAGCAAAGACTACTGGAGTCAGAAATGGGCAGAAATGGTGAATTATTCCATTATTGCCTCATAAGCCACTTCCTGGGGCATTTGATCCCAGCCCTGATCCAAAGACCACACTTCTTCTCCATCCTAGCACTTTCTCTACTCCCCTATCAGCTTCTAAAAGGCAGCTCTGGACCTTTTTTATCTAAGGGGGATAGAGAAATACATTATGTAAGGGATTTTACAGAGAGAAACAAGATGACATTATTCTTATGAGCCATTCACTCTTCCATTTGTAAAGGAATGAGTTCAGCCTACAACATATTATAAGCCTATGAAAGAAATCAGTAAGGAAAAGAAAAGAATTGGATTGCACCACACTGCTGACAGGGTGTTAAACTTCCAGCTGCTTGCCCATCTTGCTGAGGGCATCGCTGACAATGTCCAGCTCATGACGTAGCTCATTCACCACGCTGGCAATGCTTTTCGTGTCTTTCAGGATCTGCACACTCTGTGTATATGGATTGTACTTCACACCAAACGGGCGCTTGATGGTTTTCGCAAACTCTCTATAGAAGTGGAAAAAAAAAAAAACAAACCAAAAAAACAACACCAGTGCATCCTCTGTATGCAACCAGTATAAATAACCACTTTTCAAAACTACTTAAAAATAGTTCTTCATCTCTTCCACCCACCACGTGGAAGATAAACTAAATACCAATCTTGACTTTTCAATCCCATGAAAAAAATAATTACAAAACTGTGATAAGAATAAAAGGATTTGAAGCTGCTACAGGGAGATGTACAAAGTGAAATCTGCTTCTATAAAAGAGGAGGGGAAAATTCGTACCTCATCTTTTCCTTTGCTTCTTCAAAACTCTCAGAAACAAAGTAAACCTCCTGGAAAGTTGTAATGAGACATTCTTGCTTGCAGGTGACCTTTGGATCAAAAGGCTTGACTTTGGCACTGTCAGAGAGCGAGTGCTGGTGGTGTGTTATCATGGGTGAGAGGAGCATCACCATCCAAAGAATCCATGAGGAACATGACATGTAGTAAAATGAATAAAAAAGATTGAGACGATATTTAGTGCATTGCATCTTAAAATTTTTATCTGCAGATAAACAGCATTTAAAGCTTAACAAACTGAATTACTCTGAATGGTCATATTCTGCCAGTCTGTGTCAAAAATGGGATTCCACAGACGTGAGGCTCATGTGTAAACAAGAGCAATATTTTCTGAATTTGGTTAAGCCAACAGAGCTTTAATCTAAAAGAAGATGCTTGAACCCAAATGTTAAGAAATGCCAGTCATCTACTGCTTCCTGCAAAAGACAGGGGATCTGCTCAGCATATATCCAAAAGCAGCAACCACTACCCATAATTATTGCCATAGTGAATTTTCTTAAAGCCTGGTAGGTATTTAAGAGTTTTCAAAAGAAAGATTTTTAGAATTATACTTTATAAAAAGCAGGGCAAAATAGTGGCAATAATAACCAGGTACAAAGAAAAGAGTTAAATAAGCAGTAGACATTCTTACCTTGAGCTCACTAATCGAAGAGAGCAAGCCAGCCCCATAAACTCGTAGTTTTCCCTCTTGCTTGCACAAGCCAAACTCTACAGTGAAGAAGTAGCACTGAAACAGAGAAGAAAGTAAAATAATTCAGCCTTTATCAAAGATGCTGTGGTGAAGTAGATGTGAGCATTTCTATTTGTAGGTACCATCAAATAGTGGCAAACATCAGACAGTCACCCCTCAGTTGTCCTCAGATATTTAAAGAGGGAATCCAGAATGGAAGGGGGTAAAGAACCACAAGATTACATGATTCTCATGGGAAAGGTGGATGTTATAGATCACCCAGCTAGGCTAGAAGCTGCTAATGTTAGTGGGAACAGTGAGATGTAAATCTGTTTCGAGAAATATTGACGTGAAATAACAGCCTCAGCTTAAAAGAAACACTGGATAGAGAGGGCCTCTGAGGAAGTGAAAACAGCCCACTACAGTTTGTTTCTCATTTGCTTAGTGTCCTGTAAAATTGAAGATTTTCAATTTGGTGGATTTCAGGATTTCTGCAGGTATACAGGAAGAAACATTATTTTCATAGATGGCTTAATTCTGCTCCCACTGAAGGTAGTAGAAATTTTACCACTAACTACACAAGGTGGGGAAAAAAGTTACTAAACCAATTCTTTCATAACTGGCATCAATTATTTTTCATCTAAATTTAATTTTAATCTCAAAATATTTTTGCCAGAAATGGATGTCCAGAAAATTAGATTATTTATATTATTTTACTTTCTTGGCTGAAGACTACCTAATGCTAGCACTCACCACATTGAATATCATTTCAATTCCTTCTACGCATTAAAGAAATGGATTACTTTTAAAATCCTTGAATCACGTTCCCGTTAGTAAGAAAAGTTTTGTTTGGAAGAAATAGACCAGAGAATTTCAGTCTGCAAAACGTGACCTACCAGCAGAAGCTGAGCCGTTACTTGACAGTCAAGTGAAGAAAAATACCAGTCATCTCAACTTTAAAGTGTATTTTTTTCCTAGCATGGAAAATTTTTGTATGCCCCAAAACCAGAGACCAGTGAAACACATAGATCTTACAGCTGTTCTGGCTAATGTTAACATGAAGCCCCAAATTTATTCGATGGAGTGGGATCAACCTAGTAAAGCACAAAGCTTTTGATAGAATCACTGGGCACTCACTGTTGCCAGTTTTTGGACAGCCTCGTCTGAGGCCCCAAGTGATGCAAGACCAATTTCCTGGGAGAACTGAGCAAAACTGGGTTCAGCCAAAAGAGGGACATGGCCTAGGAGCTCATGGCAGGTATCACTGGAAAAAGAAACAAAACAAGAAATCTCATTATTTGTCTTTGTGGCAAAGTGAAAAAGCAGCACCCCTGAA